TGCTTTAACCCGCTGCGCCACCAGGGAGGGCCTCTCTGCCATTTTTAAGCAATTGTTAGATCTAAGATTTCAATGTTATCTTTTGCAAAATAGAAACAGGCAAGCAACTGTATATTAACCTGAGCAGTGATGCTCCCTGAACTTGTCTCTATTCATCTGACCTGCAGTCACACCCTTAGAACCACTGCTCTGTGCCTGGGGACCAGAACACCACAGTGCCAAGGGCATGGAGTTGTACCTTGCGAACAGCTACGCAACTATTTTTGCTTTGCATCTATAGACTGCAGGCTCTCATCTTCAATGGTCATTTGGCAAAAGCATGTTTTTAAGAATACTGGGAAAGAAAATATACAGTCTGTCAAAGCAGAGCACACTTCACAAAGAAGAGTCAATAAGATAACACAGAATCTTACATTAGATCTGTAAGAGGCGTTAGCAAAACCTCATTCAAATCCTTCATTTGAGATAAGCGCAGGGAGATTTTAATGGACTTGAGGTCACATAGCTTCCTCTGGCAAATGTTGGAAGAGAATCCAGATGTTTTAACTTCTAGTCCAGATTATCCTATCATACTGTCTATTCTTACATAAGGACCTAATAATTAGGCTTTAAAACTCCTTGATCAAACAAGTACATATACAATTTCCTACTCATACTTCTACAGGTTGCAGAAATAATGTGATGTGTCCCACTGAATTAAAATAGTACTGATAGTCTACACAAGAATCTTGAGAGAGAAAGAGACCTTGTTATATAATAATGGGAAGGGAGGACTCAACAATTATGTCCTGATATAAATGCTTTTGCCCTTCCTTTCAGAAATAAACCTTAAAATTGAGTATCTTCTAGAATCCTGACATTAACATAATCATTTTACTATTCTAATATTTAACCAGATTTGTTGGTAAAGATGTGAAGACAGGTTTTTGCATCTGACTTTTTTTTTAAGATTTATTTATTTACTTATGCTTACAAAACTGGGGTACAGGCCAGAGGTGTGGTGGGTGAGAGGATTCACTAGAGACAGGGTGGGGAGCAGAAAAGGCAGATCTACTGAAATCTGCTGAGGGTTGTAGCGGGTGGGTCAGGAGAGGTCTGCCACACCATGTGGGTCATCTCCGGGCTGGGGATTGAACTTGTACAGCAGTGGCTTCTGAGAGCTTCATAGTGCAGTGCTTTAACCTGTTGTGTCACCAGGGAGAGCCCTGAAAGACTTATTTTTTGGACATAAGATACAAACTGGTCCAGGAAAGTATCTCAATATAAAGATGATACCTTGGTTACAAGATTAAGGAAATATATTAGCTAGATATAGGACTACAAAAGTATTACTCCAATGGCATTTTTAAGATTTCCTTGGGTAAACCTTATTCCAGAGAAGGTAGAGACTATATTTTCTCAGATAAAACTGGCTGAGAACACAGACTTCCTACACAATTGCTGTCAGGCAAAAAACCCTGAGGCAGTGGATTGTAGGGTGAAGGAAGATGACTCAGGTTTCTGCATCATTGGTCTCTGTGGCTGTCCCCTGGGCCTTGAATGAAGGAGGCGCTTGGGAGCCAGCGCTGAGGGTACACATCGCGATGGTGGACAGCTGGAGTGTGGTGTGGGCACAGTGGAGCTGAGTACTGAGCCTCTACGCGTGGAGTCAAAGATGAAGGTGAGTGGCTGAGGATCATTTGGCAGAACGCAGTGGAGAGCCAGAGCACCCAACCTTGCACCTTGTTAGCGCACTACAGATAGCATGGAACGAACATTAAAACTGAGAACTCCAGGATTCTCCTTTTCCTGTTTGCCCTGATCCACAGAGAACCTGCTCTTTGCCGTCCTGCTATACCCTAACAACTTTAACTAGAGATGGAGCAGAAAACTTAAATCGCCTCTGTATTTACTTGCTGAAATATTTTATGCACAACATATGCACAATGCTACTATACGGTGATAGTGAGATTTTTGTGGTATTTTCACTAGCTAGGATATTCAGTATGATTTATCTACAAAAGAAAAGTATAGGTTTTAGATATACAGTTTTTTGCAAATTTGTCTCCTAATTTTTTTTCACTTATTTACCAAAAATATATAGATTTTTTTTATTATACCCCATAACCAAAAGCTTCCCAACCCCACAGATTTAAAGGCTTTTGTCTGCAAAATAATAATAACAATAATAACCTAAAATTCAAAATATTGAATAAGCTATATGACAAAAATCCAGTTGATAGATTTTAAATTTTATAAGTCACCATTTTCTTCTACTTCCACACTTTCAGGAAAGTTATAAAAGTTACAGAAAGTCTATTGATCTTTCATTTAGGGTTCCTCAAGGCAAATACACTGCATAGCTAAGTAAATGATCTGAACCAGGAAATTACTACTGATAAAATATCTTTTAACTAAAGGAGGGATACTATTTAAATGCACCAATAAGTCCATTCAGAATCTCACAGTGGCATTTAGTTGTCACTTTTTGGCAAATAAACCAGCCTTTAATTATGGCAGAAGAGCTCAGGCTTTAACTTTTCCATAAAAGAAAAAGTCTCTGGGGCAGACCAACTCTAAGACTGCACCAATGATCCTCCCTGCTGCATTCATGCCCTGCAAAATTTCGTGCCCTGCATAATTGGGTGTGAGCTGGCCTCCTGGTGTAGGCCTAGCAGGTGAGGGAGTCACCTCCATCCTTAGGGTGCACAGGATTGTGACTTCTAGCTTGCTAACTCTCTCCCTTTACTGGCTTTGATGAAGTAAGTTGCCATATTGGGAAGCAAAGTTGGTAGGACTTCTGGGTGATCTGTTCCCAGAAGTTCCCTGGGAATGCAAGCTCTCAGGCAAGAGTCCTTGACCTGAAATTCCTCCAACAAACAAATGAGCTTACAAGTGGGTCCTTCCCCAGCCATGCTCTCAGAGAAGATTCTCATCCTGGCTAACACCAAGATCAGACCCACAGGACAGACCCTCAAGCAGAGGAGTCAGTTAAGTTCCTCCTGGGTTCCAATGTGTGCTGTGTTACACTGCTAAATTGTGGCAATCTTTTGTGCAGTAATTGGTAACTAATGAATTTTTCTTTGAACATGGCCTGGTCAGAGGCATGCTACTGAGTGAGATGTACAATTCATTGATGAGACTCACACAGTCAGTTTTCTAAAAGCATACTAAATTTGTTTCTGGTAGGGCGAGCAGTTCAATGCTCACCAAGTGCAAATCCCTAGCAACTTCCAGCGCTATAGCTGAGAGTTGTGGAGAGAACTTTAATCTAAGCCGTGCAGGACAGTTTACTCCCATTTTCTCCTTTTATGTTGTGAGGATTCTGAGACCTCCCAAGGAGGTCTCCAATGAATCACCTAGCCGGCCTCTTCTCCTAAATATGAGCCACAGGTAACACAGGAGCGTATATCCACAAATGACTTAGGTGTGTGAATACATCACCAATGCTCAATAACACATCAAAACAACAGATAGCTTGTTTGCTCTCTGATGGACCAACAGTGAGGTTTCCTCTGTCAGCAATTGTAGGGTCTCAAGAGCGCTAACAAAGGGAGAGCTTAGATGGAGTTTGAGGAAGAGAAGAGGTGCCCATGGTCCCCAGCTGCCCTGGACATGAGGATGGAGAACTGCACAAGTCAATGATTGATGTGTCATTACCTCATGTAGGAAGAGAAATAATGAGTGAAGACCAGATATTTTTTAGTCACCTTGGTCTGAAATGCTTTAAAACCAGTTTTACTTCTCATTTGCAATAGCCATCATCCCAGCAGGAAAGCAATGGCCCAGTAAAGTAGGACTGTTGCAGAGCTTTAATGCAAAGGCCACTGTACACAAGCTGGTGGTTTAGAGAAGCCAGCCAGGGGTGTTGCAGTATGCAGGGAGCTGTTGGCATTCCAGGCTTAAGGGACAAGGGGAAGGAGCAGCTACTGACACTTGGAAGAGCTACATGGAAAAGGCTGCTGATAGGGCCCTACTAGGGCAGGGCAGCTGCGGTGAGAAA